TCTAAAAGCTGTACCTACTGTAAGTAAAGGGATCGAATACAAATAAATGTATTTGTATTCGGATTAAGTTATTTTTCTTGTTAATAAAAAATATAAAAAGGTTGTGACTTTCCAATAAAACGTAAAAAATATTGAACTATGTTTTGGTAACGTGTCAAAATGTGTAGAATTTAAATGCCTTCGCAAACAATACGTTTGAAAGGCATTGTATATGAAGATGATCTTTTTGCGATGGAGATCCATAAATCTGCAATGAAAATATAAAAAAAACATCAAATTTAATTGCACATTGTGTATGTACAGCACAGCCGTAAACGACATACCACACACATGACACAATATCATCCAGCTGGCCATGGATACAAGTCTGTCTGTGGCAAGAAAAGAGTAGAAATCATCAAGCGGCAGGCCATTAGCTGCACAGTTTATTAGCCTCGTACTCTGTGTAGTTTGGATGTTTGGCACTGAAAGCTTGCAGGGCAGTGAGTATCCTCATCACGTCAGTGCTGGACAGTTTGAGTCTGTGACGGAGCAGACAGGCAAACAGATCCATATGTGGCCCCCCCGGAGGAGAGAGGCGGTTTACTCTGTAGCGCAGCTCCACCAGCTGCAGCAGGGCAGAGTCCTGTGATCCCTGAGTGTACGGGTAGTCTATCTGCAGGATCAGGTCCTGGATGGCTTCGGGGTCAAAGTGCACACTGTACCCAAACAGCTGCATGCTGTTCACTTTCATGTAGCCGATGTTGTTTGACGGCTCTGAGTCCTCTGGGGGATCATTGTACAGACTTGTGTTCTTGTTTCCTGCTGCAGAATCCCTGCTGTAACTCCTCAGATAAAAATGAACAGTCTCAAAAAAGCTCTTCCACCTGTTTCCCAGCGTCAGCGTCCAGTTGTAGCAGTCCAGAGGGATATCCAGCTTGGTCTGCTCCCACTCAGGGTATCCATGTTGACCTATAGGCATTGTCCAGCTTTCAGAATGACTGCCCCCAAAAGGATTGACAAACAGTGACAGTGTCGGCTCCAGGGTGCTGTTTCTGGTAAGGCAGAACTGCAAGGTGAGGCCAAGGAGCATGTGAACACGGCTGGATTTGACTCGGTTACTCTTGAGTGTGAGCAGCATTCTCTTCCTCCAAGAGGGATCAAACCAGGTGTTTATACGCACATCGTTGCTCACAAACACGCCATGCAGAGCGAGGTGTGGGTCACGCCGCTGGATCAGGAACCGGAGCTCCAGATCCTGCAAATCTCTGTCACTTTCCATGCCGAGGTAAGGGTCAGTAGGGTCGGGCACTGCAGGGCGGCAGGCACCTTGGGTCAGGGTGAATCCCGGGTTGCAGCCGGAGCATCGAGTCCGGTTCTCTGCGGAACAGGAGGCACAGCGGGAACCGTCCCCCACAGAGCAGGGGACCAGGCCCTGGCACGGCGGGTGGTCATAGGGGCAGGAGCAGCTGCGGCTCTTCTCACTGTAAACACCAACCTGCTTGTTCTCGCTGCAGTACAACATAGACAGAGCGTAGTTCAACCAGAAGTGCAGGGATCTGAGGAAGAGATGACAAGTGACTTAATATGTATCAGGTTTGGAGATGATACACTGGCTCTATAAAGATAATAACATTTTTTTTTTCTTTTTCACATATTATGTATGAAGTGGGATTTAGCTCTACATTAATGGAGAAGTATATTGCTTTAGTGCTTCAGAGCAATACATTTAAAAACTCTACATAATATTAAAGATAGATACATCAAAGTCATCCTTCCATTGTTTTTAAAGGCAGGTGGGTTTATAACACACTTTTATAACACAATTACATGTGGATTGTTTACTGACTATTGTGAACAGAAAAAAACTGTTTCTGGAATATGTCAAATGGATGTGAGGCCACCTATTAACAGCACAGGAAAAGATGAAGGGAACACTTTTACTTTTCCAGTACCTCTAAACAGGAAACAATTCAATGGGATTTTTGAAAGTTAACTGGTGAAGAGGGTAGATATCTCTTAACCCCTGAAAAACAATCTCTCTGTTGGAAACAACATCCTGTCCTGGAATTATGAAGCTATTAGAGTCTTAGCTTTAAAAGCAAGAACAGCCAAAGGCTGAGGGACAAGGACACAACACAGATCAAGCCACAGCAACAACAGTGAGCTCTAGCCGAGTCAGCAGCCAGACCATTGAGGCAAACGTGAGTGTTGTTTGTGAGCATGAAGTTTCTCAGAAAAAAAATGGAGGGTTTTACTATGGTTTTTGTGTCCTCTGTCTGTACAAAACATCTGCTGATGTCCATGGATCACGTTATCAAATAGATATGACCGTTATCTCCAAATGTGTACGTTTAATGCATGTTTACACCCAATAATTAGCTAAACAAGTTTTATTTTTTCAGTGTCTGAGTCAAACCAAAGACAATTTTTAATTAATTTGACCTCCCTTCCAACTAGTAGATTAGCTGGAATTTGCTTTTTAGGGCAAAACATCATGTGTGAGAAAACTAACAATAGATGAACAGTTTGAGTTTGAAATGATGTATGGAGCCCTTAGGAAAAATGTTGTCAGTCACACTACTGTAATACAAGTAAATACATTATGAGTCAAAACACAGGCAGATTGTGTAAAGAAAAGTTTGACTTTCAGCTGCTTTCCATTCACTGTTGCTATGTTTAACAAAACCACTGCATGGCTTGCTGATATGAAGTATTTGCTACCAAAGTAGCATTCCTGGTCGAACCTACAGCCTAAATTACAGCGTGGACCCAAATGCTGTGGATTTCTGTGCTTTGAATTACAATTTTTGTCACAACCGGTCCACCGTGGCCAATCACTGGTAGACTGGGCTTGCTATTAAATCCCTGGGTAGAGGGTAAGTCCGTTAGATTTCATACCTACTGCTATCAGGCTTGGTCTTTTTTACTTTACAAGCTGCCATACAAAAAATCTTTGCCATAAAAACTCAATTCATATTTGGCAACTTGTATTTGGTTTCTTTAAAAATGAAGTATTGAAGGAAAGTAAGAATGAAAGAAGGAAGGAAGGTCATGTAAGGCTTGGATGCAGCTGGGTCAAGGAATGCCACTTAAAGTTTGCAGGTTGTAGTTGTCGATTCTGAAGAATGTTGACGACCTCTGTGCACTCTGCACCTCAACTTACGCTGATCCTGCTCTGTGATTTTGGCTGGCATTCCCCTTTGTGAGTTGCTGTCATTCCCAATCAGTTCCACTTTGTTATAATTCCACCAACAGTTGACTGTGGAATATTTAGTATCGAGGAAATTTTGACTTATTGCACAGATGGTATTCCTATCATGGTACCACACTGGAATCCACTGAACTCCCGAAAGCGACTAATTCTTTCATAAATGTTTATAGAAGCATTCTGCATGGCAATGTGTTGGATTTTATACAACTGTGGCCATGGAGGTGGTTGGAACACTTGAATTCAATCATCTGCTGTGGTGAGTAAATACCTTTGGTAGCACAGTGTATCATGAGCCACAAGCCCAAACATGACTAAAAAGGGAACGAAACACATTCAGGTGCCACTGGAGTAATTAAAAAAAGCACATCTCGTCCAAAAGGGGAGATAAAGGGGTACAAAACAATTACAACAGCCAAAACGGTAATTTCGACAAAAAAGCAAATGCAAATTGTAGCTAACAAAAATAACCCAAACCATTTAAATCTTTACAAATAAAAGCATCTTGATACAGAGGTGCTGTCAGAGTGTGGAGTGAGGAGGAAGAAAGACTAAAGGAGAAGCACACTGATAGGTTGTATATTATTTAGCCAATTTTCCTGCCAGAAATAGCTTTCAGTATTGAGTGTTGATAAGAGAGCCATCAATCTGAGAGAAAGAGAGAATCCAGGTGGGTGTGTGGCTGAAATGACTGAACAGATCAGACTAACTTATTTAGCCCTGTAGCAACTCAAACACTTTGACATGTTTTCACAAAATAAATCAAACATTTGACCAGAAATTTTAAGATGTCTTATTTAAAGTAATTCTGTGCAAAACTGCAGTTGGTTAGAAACCTGTGGTGTTTTGCCAAACATGAACCCCTTTATCTTATACTGACTGGGGAAGCAGCTTTGCTCCCATCAGCACTTTTCACCTCTCTCGCCGGCTACTTTTCCTCAAGTGCCTTCTAATAACCACCGTCTTGCTCTGCTGCTTTCTCTCTGCACCTCGTGCATAAATCATTCTCATAATTATAGATTCAGGGGAACAGCTTGGGTTAACACACATTTTCCTCCCTCATGTTCCCGTCCAGCGTCTTACCTCGGCCTTGGCAGGATAATCCTCGGTGGCTTCCGGCACCTCTTGCTGAGGCTGAAGAGCTTGTTAGTCGTGCGGTGAGCTCTGGTGAGGAGCTGTTTGCTGCTGGTCTCCAGCTGCCTGTAGCGCTGCAGCAGGCCAGCATCCATCCTCCACAAGTCCTCCACGACAGATGTGTTCACAGCGTAGTGGACTGGCAGCTTCTCAGTGAAGCCTCGGAACGCCTCTGGTATAAAGAAGAAAATGAATAAATAAACTCTGCCTGCGGCTATAAGCTCAAGAATTAACAATATCCAAAAACCACTATCCTTCATCAACCAGCTAAACAGGCTTAATAATGGCAGCAAAGTGAGAGGATATTATGTTGACATATTCAAATGTTCTTTGCTGATCGGATCAGAAATCAAGAAAAATATTTGTTTATAGTGACTTACAAAAGTATTCACACCCATTTGTTACTTTACAACCTTATAAATTGTCAGTCATTTTCTACACCGGTTCTTCCATAGTGGATCGCAGGGAAGCTGGTACCTAACTCCAGTAGTCTATGGGCTAGAGGCGGGTCGCCAGTACATCGCAGGGCAACACACAAACAACCATGCACACACTCATTCACACACCTAAGGGCAATTTAGAGAGACCAATTAACCTAACAGGCATGTCTTTGGACTGTGGGAGGAAGCCGGAGCACCCGGAGAGAACCCACGCATGCACGGGGAGAACATGCAGTCTGCAGAAAGACCCCCGGCCGGGAGACGAACCCAGGACCTTCTTCCTGCAAGGCAACAGTGCTACCAACTGCGCCACCGTGCAGCCCCTCATAAATTGTGTTAAAATATTTGTTTACCAATAAAACTCTAAAAGGTGTGGTGCATATTTTTATTAAGTCCTACTTTAAAGAACATTTCGCTCTTTCGTGGCGTGTCCCCACCAGCTTTGCAGAAAAAGATTTCTCCACAATTTTCTCCCTGACCTGTCTGCTGTGCTCCTTGGTTTTCATAATGCTGTTCATTCACTTATTTTCTCTAACAAACCTCTGAAGTCAGAAACAGAAAAGATGCATTTACTTCTACTTTCCAATAATGCACCACTTTGTATCAGCCTATCACAGAGAACCCAAATAAAAATACAGTGAAGTTCCTGGTTGTAACATAACAAAATGTGAAAAAGCTCCAAGTTTGCAAGATGCTGTGCAAGACTTGACAGGAGAGCAGAGCACACTCACTCCTGGTCTCTGTATTTTCTTTGTTCATTTAGGATTCATTTCCTTACAGCAAAGCTTGCAAACTATCATCTTGTAACAATTTGAGCTTATAGTAGTGATAAAAATACTTTGCTCAATGCAGTGATCATCATAACCATTTAATGAGTTATTGGTCTTTTGTTTAATGGCAGGGGTAGAGAGTTTTAGGAGTTCTAAAGCATTTATCCTTTCATCATGCTGTTGCCTGAGCACAAATATATTCCAAAGGTGAAAAAAATTAATCATTGAAATATTTCAAAAGAAACTCATTTGCATCATAAATTCATCTTTCAAAAGATTTTCTGCTTGTTAAACCTTTCTAGGTCAGTGGGTTCAGTTATTATTTATCTTTTTCCATGCTTTTTTACTTCCTGTTTCCTTTGGTATACCTTCTTCAGTTCAGCTACCATCACATGCAGTTGTCATGGATCCCAAGTTTTAACACCAGCTGCTCATTTTTCAGCAGTTCTCTCAGTATTTGTTCTGCAAAGTGTTGTTTACCCAATGTTCTCCGTTGAACGTGTTTGTCTGACCCCCAGCTTTAGTCCTGCGAACCCAGAATAAATCTGTTGTACCTTTTTTGGATCCCGATGGTTTGTCTGATGTACAGTGCTGTTGCAGTGCTGTTTTGCTCTGTGAGTAAATAAAGACCTTCGTTTCTTTCTGGCTGTCACCTAAAATTCTGGATTTAGGTCCCAGTCATTCTCCATTTAAACTCTCTCTATGGTGTTAACATGGCCCAAAATGCAAATGGGGTGCATTTGCAGCTGCACAAAGAATCATTCACCACATACTGCAAATTTTACAGAGATTGGATATATTTGGATTTTATTCAAATTTAGCACTAAATCCTACTTTCAGTGGCCACTGCAGTTAAAAGTTATTTTCACACATTTGAAAAATCAGGCCTCACCTGATGCAATCACCTGATGCAATCAATCAAGACCTTCACTTGTTACATGAGATGTGTTTGAGATATAACACTCCAAACACCTTAATTGATTGTGACACACACTATACAGCACATACCGAATGCTGAACGACTCCTTGCCTGAAGTGACCCAAAAGCACAAGAAAAGACAGCTCTAATTTGATTGCAAGTACTGTATATAAATAAGTACAAGAGGTTTTAGGATTTCATTCTGTGGAGTAATGAAACAAAAATAGCATTTTTGAGGCCTATTGATCAGCTGTATGTCTGGAGGCGGAAGAAGGAAGCTTACGCTTCATGTAAGCATGTTGGTGGCTTAGTGATGGTCTTTGCTTTCTCTGGCCCTTGAAACCCGTTTCATATGAAAATCCTGAAAGACAATTCCATGATTTCTGTGAGGAAGCTGAAGCTGGGGCATCATTGGACCTCCAAACAGGAAAAAAATCCTAGGTCTATCTCAGTCCACCAAGGCCTGGTTTTAAAGGAGCTCCTTGAGTGGCCTTCATAGTCACCCAACTGTGTTTAAAATATCTGGTAGGATTTAAGGAAGGCGGTTGCAGCATGTAAACTCAAGAACTTTAATGAACTGGAGGCGTTTTCCTATAAGGAGTAGGCAAAAATTCTGTCTGGCTATCAATCATGTTTGCAGCAGCTCTACTAAGTATTAAAGATGCTTTTCATGAAGGATTTGAATTATTTTAAGACTGCAGTACTCATTAAAGTTAATTAGGGGGAACCATTTGTAATATTGGTTGCAAAGAGCAATTTAAAATGTTTTTGTTTCATTTATTTATTGCTAACAGCTGCTAGTTTATACATTTTACCAATTAATCCAAGTTTGCAGGCGGATGTTGAATAACTTTCGGTGGAAAACCAGCAAAAGTCATGAGCACACCGAGCTGCTGCTTAGGGCCCAAGGTAAGTATGGTGCACCCAAAAGCAGTTTACTTCTCACACAAAATACATATTTTCAAAACTTCAAAATTAAAGTTACATTTATCAAGAAGGAGCTTACTTTTAAACTTTTTTAAAGAATCTTGAATAGCAAATTTCAAAGTAATTTAAGAACTGACCGATACACCCTATATACTAAATATACTATATACTAATTAGGTGACTTATGACAGCAAATAGCCGCACTGGATTTTATTTACGTGTATCAGATTAAGAGGGCTGAAAACACATGCATTCCAGACTTTTCATACGATGCCTAAAACACTACCGGTTAATTGCTGATGTTTGCTAGATAATTAATTTAAAATTATCTAGCAGTAAAAAAGAAACCTGCATTGCTTTACTGTTTAAACTGCTGACCACTAACTTAACTCACACTTTAGAAAAAAGTGCCAAATTAAATGTAAGTTGGTCTAAAGAGACAACACTTTCTAGGGAACACAATATCATAAAACATGCAATTTTTATTATCAGCTTTTTATAGTTGCAGACAATAAAGCTATAACTTTATGTATCACTGGAATCTATAATTCTAATAAGAAATGAACCAACAAACCACATTACCATCAATAATTCAATAATTGAACAGAAAACTGCAAAGCAAATGTAGGTGATGAAGTGAGAAGACCTCAGCTGTGAGACTCAGATCCAGTGCCTGCAATTGTAGCCTTAAATTTTTTTTTTATGTTTTTGCTTTTTTGTCACTGGTCAAATATTTCAGATCATCAAAAAAGTGTTGTTCTCATTATTTCCTTTATTAAGGGAAAAAATACCTTTACCATGTGAAAAAAGTAATTGCCTCCTAAAACTCATAACTGATTGTGCCACTGCTGTAAGTAACAACTGCCATTTAGTTTCTGTTGTTTTTATTTTATCACCGAGGAGGAATATTGGCCCACCTATTCTTTGCAGAATTGTTTTATTATTGTTTTCTTTGTCTGAGTTATTTTGTGACCTCCTGAATAAGTCATGAGCTTTTACTTGAAATATTTTTTGGTACATCATTGTTTCATGTTTTTTGTCCATGTATGGTTAATGGCTCTCACTGTGGTTCACTGGAGACTAGAAACTAAGTAAATTACTTACTTTATTCCTATCCAGACTAACAGATGTGACCGACTTTGTCAACTGCTCTTGAATTTCTTTAGATCAGGGCAGGATGTGCTGCTTTTTGAGACATTTCACCATACTTAATGTAGTCAGACAGGTACTATTGAGGTGATTTCTTAAATTTAGCATCTGGCAATATTCAGGCCTGGGTGTGACTAGCGAAATTGAACATAGCTTTCCAAAAAATGGAATTGTGATGAATTTCTGAATCACTGTCTCGCTTCATGAATATTTCTTTAAGAAAAGAAATTACTCCAAAAAAGCATGCTCTTTTTGCTGCTTCATAATTGTTTTTTTTTTCTTTTTCTCAAGACTGTGTAATACACTGAAGGCATTCAGGCTGATGTCCCAGCCTCGACGCAATTTCCACATTCTACCATTTTTATCTACTGTCTCTCCCATTATGTTTCAATCAGATCGTTTTTTTGTCTTCTCCTGCTGCTTTTTGTTAGGAGCAAATGCAAAGGTAATCTTTTTAGTTATATAGCAAACAAATGATTTATACTTGTCAAACTCTTCACTATGTAAAAATGATTACAAAAAAAAATCATGGTGTTCTCACATCTAGTTTCACGAGCCAGAAAACAGAAGAAATACAAATATAATGTGATGTTGCTCACATATTTCACAGTTCAGCAAGTCATATTTCTTTGTATGCGTTAGAATAACTTAGACTGCAGTGGATTTCCAAGATTGTTTTTACCCATTTTATGAAGTAAGAGAATGTATATTTTAGACTCATTTTTTCTTCTCTTTGGAGTTCTTAGAGACTTTTGGTCTAAACAAATTGGCTTTTTAAGAACTAACCAAGCACCTTATAAAAGCATCAAACCAATCACTAAAAGCTATTTGTTCTCTGAATTCAGAGTCTGCCGAGCAAGCCATCAATTATTCACACAAGAGTCTATTTAAGGAAAAAGGACGCACAAAAGACTTTTTTAGCACAAATTTTTTTAGGTATGAATTAATTTGTTTGTTTGTCAGAGAAATGACTACCTTCACTTTAAACCCTAGTAAAAAAGAATGTTTTAAAAGCCAATGTTCCACCTGTATGTTTTTTTCCCCACTAAAAGCTATTAAAGCTGACATTTCCAGGTTCCATTTGGAAGAGTCAAAATTAACTTGTTACTCACCAGATTCCTCAAACTCCTTGTTGACCAGCCTCATTGCATCTCGGATGTGCAGCAGGCTGTCTTCCAGAGTGTCCAGGTCAGAGCGAGGACAGTTGCACTGAGGAAAGTCCACACTGCACTCACACCAGCAGTCGTTGTTCCGGCAAACAAACTGGCCCTCTGATTTGCAGCCAATATAGTTGAGGGCTGCCTGAATGAAACGGCTTTGTAGGTAGCCTGGAAGGATTACCTGCAACCCTATGGAGGGCCAAAGACAGAGGAAGTGAAGAAGTGTTTACATAGGTTTATCTCATTAAAATAGAATTTCAATGAAGAGTCAATGTATTTCAGTGAGACAAAAAGTAAAAATCATATAAAGCGTCATTATGCAGAAGGTAATTAATTAACTTTTTGTTTTTCAGACAATTAGAATATTTCATACAGCTAATTTTAAAAAGCATTT